GAAAGTTTACATCGCATACAAAATGGCTTTTGCATAATATGTAATTTGATTTACAATTTCTGGGTCAAATTTGAGCGGTTTTTATGGTTAGTTTTTTTTTTTCGTCTGGCATCAAAGTGCTCACTTGGGAAAAGGAGACGGTCGATGATCGTACTTCTAGAAAATGATTTTTTTATATTAGAAAAAAAAAATTATGCAAATAATTGATCAAGTTAGAGAGAGAAAAAAAATATGTTTTTTTTTCATATACACAGAAGTGCATTTGATGTCACAAAAAACCAGTAACGTAGCATTTTTTTTCGCTTCATATGTCAAAGCTTAGTGACAGAAAAGAGGAATGTACTGTATTCTCGTACGATGTTTGACCAAAAAAAACTTTTTGCAGCAGAGCGCGTGTAAATATAAAGCTTCTGGATGTGATGCAATGGAGTGACTCTTGTGCAATTCAAAAACGATAAAAATGCACTTATATGAAACAATTATCATTGATGTAATCGAGCATAATGTGCAACTTATGAGTTATAAAGTGAGTGTCTGTGCGAACGACTGCGCGTACATGCTCATGCATTTTACGCGCTGGACATTAAGTCTGGTTGAATTCTATGGCATAAAGTAAAAAAATCGAAACAAATTGCTTTGCAATGCGTTGTTTTTTTTTTCTAATATTTTACAAAGCAAAGTTTATGCGCTAGAATTCAATAATTGAAAATAGTAATTACTTCACATGGATTGAATCTAATACGTTCTTGATATACGTGGTTGAATGTATGTGAATATATATTTTTTTAAGGAAAATCGATCTGCATGTTGTAACCTTTACAAAAAAATCCACATTACATTCAGACGATTCCATTCAAATATTGTTGAATTTCGATTGAATCATCATTGTTCGTCTTCATATTATGGTGCATTTGGTTGTCAACTTGTTGTGAATCACGGATGCACACGCGCCAGATCGATCTATCGGCCGCACGAGGTCGAGGTGTTTGACGACGTGATTTGAATTTCTCATTTGCAATAACCACTAACAATGATACTGGGTGTGTATATACTGAAAATTGCCATAAGCAAATCGTGCGCTGTGTGCTAGCAAGCACACAATACACCGAATGCCAGATCTTAGCGCTTTGTTTGAGCACATAGCTCACTATGTAATTTATTTGAGTATGATTGATCTCCAAAGTATTCCGTTGTATCAATATGTATTTCGCCTTTCGACGGTTGGTATTTGCTTTTGTTGGTTCATTCAATTTGCATTCGACTTTTTGTTCGTTTCTTCTTTATTCGAGTTCAGGCTCACAAGCGACTAGCAACAATTACTCGTATAAAAATAGAAATCACCTACAATGGAAGAAAAAGAAGAAAAAAAATATGTCATTTTGTATAAAAATTTATTGACACAGACTGTATGAGATCCTGTTTTGAGGTGCGGGTGCAAGTGCAAGTTCAGATCGACAAAATCAGATGTATAAAATGGAAAATAAATATTACATGGCACATTGATTTGAAGGTCTCAAATTGCAATTCGCGACCGATCCAAATATGGATACCTTTTTTTTATAAAATTATATTTGCTTGTAAACCTTGCACTATTTTTCACCCTCCATTAAATTGCCGTCAAAAAGAGAAAACTTCGCGCGCTAAATTTTGAAATTTTGTCTCTCGAAAAAAAAAAAACAACAACAGATATTGATAAAAATGGACATCATAAAAATGTGGCGCTTTGCAAACAAAAAAAAACATCATTGTGTGCGCTCGACCCGTTTCCAAAATGGTTAAACCGCTTTTAATAAAACGAGTATACCATTTCAAATAGTTTACTGTGTCAAAGTCAATGCGTTTGCGCAATATAGCTTAAACAAACTTGCCAAAGAAGCTTGAATGCTTAAAGCAATGTTAATATTCAACAATAAAGAGAGAGAGACGCACAAAACAACTAAACGTAAAATGTACGAAATGTATTCACACTTCCAACTTTTATGTTAAGCAGCAGCAATAACCAAAGGATCGCACACAAATACATTTCGAAAGTTGATTCTACTGGTATCGCACTGCTATTGATATCGACGTCTGTACAGTGTACACAATTACCAAATCGATAAGTGTTTGTTAATAGGTGTGAGAATTTTAATCGTCGTCCCATACCATATCGTTTTCACATGTTTTGTTCTTTCTTCATTCGGGTAAAATCCAAAATCAAATTCCTCGGTTTTTTTTTCTACTGGTTTCTTTTTTCATTCCGTTTTGTAATGCGTTTGCTATTGATACAAGCGTTTGGCTTTTGATTTATGTGCGTTTGACTTGAAATTCTTGGACATTCAATATGACAGTAATAGACAATGACACTTCGGTCACGCATTACTCTTGATTAAAACAGTTTTATCCTTCAAATATTTCAGCAAATCTTTTCAAAAAAGAAGATGGAATGAAAAGAAGCAATTTGAATTTTAAAATTAAAGTTATAAAAATCAATTTGATAAACCTTCCCAGCTTTAAATGAATTATGTGGAAATTCTTTAAAGAATTTATTTAAAATGAATGAAAATAAATCGACATTGGAAAATGTAGCATTGATAAAATACGCTTGAAGGTTAAAAAAAAATAACTTGGCAAAAATTCTAAATTGACATCTAATTTAAATAAAAAATGTTTTCGTGATTAAACAACGAAAAAAAAACAAGCATCAATAATTTCGTAGAATTCAATATGAAACCAATAAAATAAGAGGAAGCCGATGAGTTGTGTCGTCATCGGCGTTGATAGTTTTGCGATGTCCGGTTAAGCGACGTGTGATTCAACCCGGATCATGAAAATAAAACTGTGTGGCTCCGATGAAATAATCTCTCGCTTGTTATCTCTTTTATGCTGTAAACTGATTGAATTGAAAGCTTGAGCAGCCCAAGTTGCAACTGCTCTGTCATCAACCATTCGAACATAATGATTTATTGTTTAACACACAAGATCATATGCGACAGACAGCCTCATAAACCCCGCAAATCTCTTGTCGGTGTTGTAATATGCAAATTTACATCACACACCGCAAATACAGACGCGCCTATGACAGAGAGCAACCGCACAAACGTGATGCACACACAAACCTCAAACACAAAAATCTCAATTGATGTTCATCTTGAAGTAACAATAATTCATTGTGCTTCAAAAAAAAATGTATATTGTGTGGATTTACTCATTTTCATACAGAAAGAAAAAAAACTATCTTCACTGCTTCTTCTCTTTCCGCTTTTTTTGTTTTGTTTGATAGTTATGAGCGCGCACTTGTGAGCTATTGGAATTGGGCAACACTTTGTTACCTTTTTCATCTGTACATTGCACAGAGTACACGCAAGCAGTACATTGAACACACACATCAAAAAGTAATTAATCGACGATGAACTGACTTGTATTCGCAAGCACTTATTTTGAATAAGATGATTAAGCAAATCGTTTTGTAGTCAAATTAAAAATGCAATTGTGTTTTTTTTTTGGCTTCGCATTTCTTTCTACCGTGTGTGTACCGATTTTCGTTTTCTTTTTTCACTTGCAAATTATTTGCCATGCCTATTGTGTGATGGGGCCGAGCAGAGAAATCAGCGATTGTTCATGAATTTGCGCCCATCAATTAGCTTTCAATGATGTTGTATTTTGTTCATTTCTTTTAACTTTCAAGTTTATTAAATATGTTCGAATTGCGGGGAAAAAGGTATGTCTGACAAAAAAAAACAAGTGTTGACTTACCCCCTCTATGAATGGAATTAAGCAACGTATTTTGGATTGTGTTGCGCTTTTGCTGAGAAAACTTGTTCTTGAAACAAGATTAGAATCGTTTTCCGTTTTTGTTATGGCTGCAAAGAATTTCGATTGCAAAATCCAATCGAATCGCAAACTGATCGAATAAGCACCACTCTGTATGTTTACCTGTCGATATTGAAGCCTGCAGCAAGTAACAAAAAATCAAATGGGCACTTGTGCTGCTCGATCTTGCATTCACAAAATTGCGATCGATTTATGATTTCTGCGTTCATTTGTATTTTTTGACCATATTAAGACCAAATGTATGCAATTTCAAAAGTGGCCACGATTACGGTAACCGCAAAATTCCTGTTTTTCTTCTCTTCAAATTTACGATGGAACTTTGGCAAAGATATATGCGAACGTTTTTTTTTTTGTTCATAAACCAAAAGCAAAATAGTAATTAAATTGCATCTGTGTGCGCCTAAGCACATTGACAAATACAAAAAATTAGATTATTTTTATGCAGAAAAAAGAAGGACGACTAGCGTTCACAATTTTGTTACATTTTCTACTTGCAATTGCAAAACAGAAGAGAGCAAAAAAAAGTGATCTGTGATTGTGTTCAATGTTAAAATTGAATCAGGGTAAACGAGGTGCATTAACTAAAACAATCATAATAATCAGAGACAACACTACATTTATTAATAAATTGCAATTGCATTCGATTTTGCAATATATATTACGCTGAAGATTCAATTCGATTCTCTCTTTATTTTTTGTCTTGCTAATGAATAAAATCAGTAACAACCGGAGAACGAGAAATTTTCAGAAAAAAAAGAGCGAAAATGATTTGAGATAGGGTGCAATATATAAGGAGCATGAACGAGAGAGAGAGAGAGAGAGAGAGAGAGAGAATGAAAAATGTTTAATAAGGCTGATAAACGAGTTTAATAATTTTTTTTTCCTCTTTAATTTGGTATATGGTTCGCGCAATGTAATTTATTAAGAACTTTTTTTTATTTGATCGGCGAAAAACCGGACCTTAATTGGTGACCGAGAGTAGACAGAGAAAAAAATGCATATATTGTAAATGTATTTTTAGTTTCGTTTAAAAAGCAAATAATAAAGAATGTTCGATGAGCTAGTGGAATTAATTGAGATTCAACAAAGCAAAAACAAAATAATTGCAATTGTTATAAATTAACTTATAATCGTTGAACTTATTTATAAATAATGTTTTTTTTCTGTTTCTCTCGATTTTATTACAGTGAATCATGGGAAAAGGTGAATATTGTTCACAATGAAAATGGAACAATTAGCTTCAATCAAAAGAAAACATTTATCTTCAACGAAGAACTCTCAAATGGTTCTGAGGACGATGTTGTTATCGTGCCAAATATTCCAATGTTGAGCGCCACATCACAGAGCAAACATGCAGCACGGTAAGTTAATAATTCGTTTAACGTTTCGATTTCTGGCCTCGATATTCAATCGATTCATTTGTTCAATTGATAGGTTCTTGCGATTGGCGATGGCCAGTATTATGGATATTTTAAAGATAAAACCATTCGTCGAGGTATCAGTTGGACAATTGTTGTGGGGTTATGAAGATCCACTATTGAAATTGGCTAAAGACGTTGTGCCAAAGGAGCAAAAGCTACCATACGAAGAGTTTGGCGTGTTATATGGCAAAAATAGCACATCACCGGTAAAATAATAAATATTTATTCAACAACATCAAATCACTTTATATACCATTTTGTATTTTTAACTTTGAGTTGGTAAACAAATTAACTTTATTGCATTGTGACAGTGTTATCATAAAGTCGCTTACTTCTTTTTCAATGACTACAATCAATTTACACCTTTTAATGTTTTCATTTCGCACATTTATATATATATTGCTGTTTATTACATTAAATTTTAATTCCTTGTTTCGTCAACAAATGACAACAATAGGATCGTGTAACCATTTTCTCGGGAGTGAATGATATCACACAGTTCGGAATTATCGACAAGTACAATGGTGTTGAATACTTGCCACATTGGTCAACACCCGCTTGCAACCATTTGAATGGAACCGATGGCTCCATTTTCCCACCACATATCACCAAAAACACAACATTACATTTGTATGACAAAGACTTATGCCGCCTGTTGCCATTGTCATTCGAAAAGGAAGTTAGCACACGCAACAATGTGCCCGGCTATCGTTTTACACCATCGGAAAAAGTGTTTGCATCCGTTGAAAATAATCCAGACAATGTTTGCTTCTGTCCAAATGGACCACCATGCGCACCACACGGAATGTTCAACGTTTCAGCATGTCAATACGGTAAATATTTGCTAAAGTAGTTTTAATTTCATTTATTATAAAAAGAAAAAGCACATTGACCGCACCAATATGGATGAGGACATTGTCCAAAGACAAGGAATTGAATGCTGTATGCTAACTGTTGAGCACTTAAAGTGAAAATAAATATTTATGCTGTGTTGCAGTCTGATATTTGCATTCTTGATGAAAACACACTTCTTTCGGTTTATTCAAAGAAAACGATCCATTCTTTCTTTCTCTTATTGGACAAAATACATTAAAAAAAAAAACAAATTCGTGAAAAAAATGACTCAGATTAAAGCAAAAAGCGAATTACTTACGATGCTTCTATTCGAAGGTTTATTAAATATAGCTGAATCGATAACCGATTCAAAGTACTTGACCGATTTATGGAGGAAAAAAACACTTGCCAAATTTTGTCAATAATAATATGAAGATTTATTTCCTCGTTTGTCAATAATTTTAACAAAAACACACAAACCATCTTTACCCAAACAAATACAAGCTCTTATAAACAAATTGACAAAATTTTTGACAAACAAATTACTGTTAATAGTACATGAATTTTAAGTGCTTTCAAATGAAGTGGGCGCACTCTTTAAATTATCGCTTCCTAAAAAATTCACTTCAACAAATTCATTGAAAAAAAAATCGCAATGATAAATGATCGCATTGAATTTTTTTTTTTTTTGTTGAAAAGTTAGACAGCAATCAGCATTTTTTTCCGGCGACATTTGATGAGTTCACTTGAAAGTTTTAATATTTTGTATCATATGTTGATGTTTAAATTGTGCTTTTTGTGTTTAATGTTTAGATTCACCGATCTTATTGAGTTTCCCACATTTCTACATGGGTGACCAGAGTCTTCGTTCAGCCGTTGAGGGTATGTCACCACCCGAAAAGGAAAAGCATCAATTCTTCATCGATGTTCAACCCGTAAGTGATAATTTGAATGGGCTCGAGAATGAGTGTGAGATTTTATTGAATACACCGGCAGTGTTAATGAAATTTTCACATTGATCCACGGGCAATCAACTTTTGTATAATGAAAATCGTTTCGAAATGACACAATTTTATTACCTTCATTTCACAGGAAATGGGAACATCGTTGCGTGCACGTGCTCGTGTTCAAATCAATTTGGCTGTCAGTCAGGTCATCGATATCAAACAAGTGGCCAATTTTCCCGATATAATTTTCCCAATTTTGTGGTTCGAAGAAGGTATTGACGGTTTGCCAGAGGAAATAACCAGTTTAATGTTGTTGGCCACCCAAGTACCACCAAAGGCACGTTCAACATTGATGTTGGTACTATTCATCGTTGGTGCATTGTTGTTAGTTATTGCTGTCACCTGTTTGGTGCGACGATCACATCGACAAAGCACATTGCATTTGGCTTCAAATTACTTGGCCACATCGGCTGTTGATCAGCAGAAAAAGAAAGCGCAGAGCGAACACAAACGATATTAGATAGATGCTCTATAATTTTTTTTTTGATTAGTAATTATTAGAACACAAAGCCTAGCAGCAACAAAAAAAAAACAACAACAACACTTACGAACAAGCAATAATACAAGATCAATCCGGTTGTTGGGAAATGATATCTATATGGTAAATTTAGTATTCGGTTTAAAGTGGCAAAGCTCCATAAGCACACACTCACAAAAAAAAACAAATGCCTAGATTGGTGAATTGACGGACATAAAAAAAAAACACGATAGAAAGAAATTCCGAAAAGAAAATAATATATGTTCTGTCACCATTTACCTTTTTTAAACAATCAATTAAACAGAAAACTAAACAGGTGTAGAATGCACACAAAAAAAGTGTATCGAATGGGAGAGAAAAAAATGGAGGAAAAAACTAACAAAAAATATTGTAAAAATTAAGCATGAGTTTTGTTAATTTTTTTTTTAATTTCGGTCATTTTCCCTCGTTTTATTCTTCTTATTCATTTAAAATTCTGGTTCTATTCGCTTTTGATAATTCACGATTCTCCTCGTTCTCATTAAATTTATGGTTGTTTAAATTTTTTTCTCACATTTCATCTGTTTAAGGTCACTTTTTTAGTGAATGAAATTAGTTCAGTTATTTTAATGGACATTTTCTACATCCGCAGAGAAGAAAATATTGATTTATGTTTTTAATTTTTTTTTTGATCAATTTGTTTATAATAGTTGTTTATTTTGTGACGATTTGTGAAAAGATGAGGAAAATTAAATACTGCACGTACCCGCACCCACACTTTCAGATATTTTACAATAATTTTGCTATGCTCCATTTTTTTTTTTTTTTAAACAAAAGAAGAAAACTAAAAAATCGCCATATTATTGAGAGATAGAGAGAAAAATAAAAGAAGAAAATGATGAAAATTTATATTAAAAATTGAAAAAAAGCGCTAGCAGGATTGAAACGAATTCAACATTCGTGATCAAATTCAAACAATCGACAATCATAAAAAATTTCTTCTTAAAACGAACGATTTTTTTTCTCTTCAAAAAAATAAAAGAAAAATAGAAAACTCTGTCTTCCTGCAAATATACATACATACATTCCATTGGGGATTTGTTTTTAGGGTATTTTCCGTCCAAGTATGCACAAAGATAGAAAAATATTTAGAAAAATCGACAATAAATCATTTGTTAAACGCTCAATTCACTGGATATGTGCCTTAAGGTTAATTTACATTCATTTATAAGGGAAGTTTTTTCGAGACAAAATTTTCATTTAAAAAAAATGTAATAATAACAATAAAAGAACAAAGACTACGGTAATTCCATCTCGAAAGCAACATTCCAGCCGATTTTTTTTTCGTGTTGCCACTTTTTTTTGTTCGACTTTATTTCAAAGACATTCCATTTATTTAATTCACTTTTTTCGTTGGTTGTTTTTTTTTCTTCTTCTCTTTTTCAATTTACAAAATAAAAAAATTCTGCGTAGACTGTAAGAGAATACGGTAAAATAAAATCTTTGCATAGAATTTACATTTGTAATTATATAATATTAAAAACAAAAAATAAAATTGACGGAGGAAAGTATGAAACTTACATAAGTACTTAGTTTTTAAGGGTAAGCGATAAATTTAATTGATTTCGTTTTGTACATACAAAATACATAGTAAAATTTAAACACACAAAATGGCAAAATACGATTTAAAACGAAAACGAAAACAAAACAAATAAATAAATGAATGAAATTGAATTTTCCCAGCAACAGTGAATTTTGTGCGGTCACTCTGATCGTGATCGAATGGCGATTAATGACAACCAATTTACAATTTTTACTTTTGATATGAAATTTTTTTCGTTTTGTTGTTGTGTTCAGTTCAAATCGGAAAAATTAAGATTTTTTTTTCTTCGGGGAAAATGAATAATAATATTATAAAGAAAACATATTATACATTTGAAGCGGAAATAAAAACATCAAGTAATTTATTAAAATAAAGAAAAATTAACGTCGTTTGTTTATTTTCTCTTGCTTTTAGGCATACTTTTGATTTCAAAGTCCGAATTATGTTTTAAATAAATATTTATTTGTTCGCAATTTGAATTCATTTCTGTTAGATGGAGACTTGGTGACTGCAAAAAAAAAACGCCGCACAGTAGACTATCTAAATTTTTGAAGTGGATAAATGTAGAAAAGCCAAGGTAATTTTCGTTTATCGTTTCATTTCGTAGGAAAAACACAGTCGCATAAACAATGATCATATGATATATTCAGTCTGTTTTTCATTTCGCGGAAAAGTCTTTTTTCTCTTTCATATCACCATACTTTATCGTTCAATGGATTTGATTTATTTTTGTCAATGCTTTCGTCATTGTTTCATCTCGCGTTCGATTTGTGTTTTCTTTTTTCGTTTCACCTTTATTTATTCATTGTGCGCCGTGCGTTCAATTCGTATGAGAAAATTGTTGTCCAAAGTTCAGATCGCATTTTCAGGATATAAAAAACAAGGAAAAGTGTGTGCGTAATCGAACAAGAAAAATTGTGATTTTTTTATTTAGTTTTAGCGTAATATAATGAATATTAGACTGAACCATGAAAAGAACTTGATTCAAATGTGATTAGTGAATGGAAAATCAGTGAATTGCAGGCAATGTTTTCAAAAACCAAGGTAAATTATCAGTGATAATGCGCAGACACTATGTCGCTTGTGAAATAAAAATTGTAAGGCTCCGCACACAAACACAAACAAAAAAGAACGATTTTAAAATGCGTGCATATGACTTAATAAAGCCGAACAAAAATGATAACAATACAAATGCACTATGATTTTATCTTATGATATCGTTATAATCAATTTATATACGAAGAAAATCAACGATACATGATAGAACCAAATCAGTTATCGTTCTAGCATGGTACGATGATCTCGTTCTCATCATGGATTCGTTCAACAAAACATCACGTATTGGTGGTCTGGGTGTAAAATTCAGTTTTATCAAAAAAGTAAGAGTTTTCCAATTGGATATAAACTCAAAAAATAGAAAAAAAATGTCAGCTAAAATGTCGACACTAACGAAAACTGTGGTCGTTGTAAAATTAAAGGTTCAATTCAGTTTGTGATGGGACGGTGACAAAAAAATAATCTATCACAGTCAGCTGATTGTTCCGTGATTTCGTTGTTGACAAATATACTCATGGCGCATAGATGATTACTGTTCTCAAGCTATTAAAACTAAGAGAGAGGTATCGCTCAAGTGAAAGTACGTTTGAAAGTACGGAAAGACCTTGGCAAGCAAATAGCAACACACAAAATGAATTGAATTTATATAAATGGGGCGCCCAAAAAAGAAGAACGATGTGAACCGAGAGACAAAAAGTGATCACATAGGAAACTCCACTCTGATTTGAGATATGTATGCAGCAAAAAAATATCTCATCATCCGTAAAACAATTAACGCGAAAATTGTAATTGGGTATGCGACAGAGAAACAGATGGACTGTTGATGTTAACGCTTAAAATGTCTTTCTTTAGGTATACATTTCACGTCAGTTCACTATCGAGAGCATCGCGAAGATCACAAGTGCACGACAAGCAACATAAAAAAAAAACAAATCGAGGAATGATGAAGAAGAAGAAGAAGAATAAACAATCCGAGAATGACATCGAAGGACGATGAAAATGTCGAAAAGAGTCAAACGATTGGGTGTGAGAGTGTATTGAGCGATGTATGTCGGTTTTATGACCGAAAAGTAATCGATGTTGAACACGTTGTGCTTGTAAAATAGAGTATTTATAATAGAACTGATAAACGATAACAATTTTGATGCGCGGAAGTGTGCTTTTATTTCAAATGCTGTCTTTTTTCTGCTTCTAATACAGTCGTTTCATTCAATTAACTGATTTTAGCGTGTTATTTGTTATCAATGTTAAAATTCATTCGATTACGAATTAACGAATAGAAAAGTATATACGATGTGAATCACGCATGCATTTATTGATGATATTTTTTTCTTCGGCGTGTATTGGATTCTTGTCAAGTTCTCTATTATCGCGATAGAAATGATTTTTTCTTTGTAATTGTGTACGGTTTTTGCCTTTAAATTGCCTTTTTTAATCGCAACGGTCGTGCCTCTGCGTGTAGTTGTTTTGCACGATGTGTGATTTCTCTCTCTCTCTTTCTCTCTCTCTCTCTCTCTCTCTCTCTCTCTCTCTCTCTCTCTATGTCGTTGTTTTCACACATATGTGTGTGTGTGTGTGTATGTGTTTGAAAATACGAAAAACAAAATGCCTAATCAAAAACTGTAACTAGAATACATTGTGTGACCCTATCATAACCTTCTTATGCCTTTGTACGTTTCCTTCTTATTCTTCTTTTTTTTTTAACTTAACATCTACAATTCGACATTGTTGGTGTCATTATAATTTTCAATTTCTTTGGCCAGCAAACGATCGACACCGAAGCGCGCCGGACGGGGAAACATTTTAATTTTTAATTATTGTCGATTTTAAAAGTTCACTATCATTTCAATTTAATTCATCGAGGTGGATTGAGTGTGGATTAGTTGATCGCTCGAATGTCAGCACATTAGACGCAATCCTTTTGTTGTTGTTTTTTGTTTGTTCTGTGTTTAATTTTTTTTTTTTTTAATAAATTTAACGCCGTATTTCTTGTTTTCTCTTTGTTGAAAAGTGCGCGTACGAGTATACAGTGTAGTGAAAGACAAAAGAACAAGAGTACGGTTTAAAAAAAATAATTGGATTTATAACGAAGTCAATCATTTTATCTGACACACACACACACAACAATTTTTCTGGGATTTCCAAACTCCGACCAAGTGAATTTATCTGGAATGTAACTGGCACTGGGGAGTAAGAAGTGAGTAACTCTTATTTGTTTTATTGAAATTCTATTTTAAATTTACACATTGAGAGATTTTTCCGCGCATTGTTCTCAACAAAATGTGTATATTTCAAGATATTTATTTTATCAAATTTGTAAAATTTTAATTTATTTGATTTAAAATTAAATTTTAATAAATATTAAAATTGAATAAATTTAAAAATGTGTACAAATGGCCGATATGAGGGAACACATACAATGCAAAATGTCGTTTTTGTTGTTGACGATTTGCGAAACTTTTAATGAGAGGGAGAGAGAGCGAGGGTACGAGAACGTGTTTGTTGTGTATTTTAATATGCCCGATTCTAATTTTCAATCGAAGAAATTTGCATAAAATTTATTTTCCTTAAAATGCGCGGTGAATTTAATTGAATGCGCTTCAAAAATTGACACCGTGTATCTCTCGCTCTCTCTCTCTCTCTGTGTGTGCATATATGTATTTTGTTCAAAACTGGATAACCTCTGGTTCACGTTCACATCCACAACCATATAGTTGGGCTTTTGTTATTCTATTGTCATTAATTTGGTTTTTTTGCTTGTATTGTGCACGGGTTAAAAAACTTTAAATAAAAAACAGTTCGCGATTTTTTTTATTGCTTTTGGTGTTGGTTTGGCCATTTCTTCATTGTGTGTTTCGTGCCATACTTTTTTAATTCAATTTTTAGGGCAATAGAATTGGCTGTGTTTTTGTAACTTTTTTATCGTGTAAAATCTTTCGCTTTAATCAAAATCAATGCGCCTACAATCAATCACAACCACAGCAATCGTAATCGTAAAAAAAAATGTTTTTTTTTTCTGTTTTTCTTTTCAATTCTATCTAGATCCATCAGGAGTGCGCGTTCCTTAACACACATACACACAATATATCCCATTCAATGCATTTGATTATATTACTAACTATGGGCATACACAGTATTATTCAGCGCTTTATTGTTTTTTTGGTATTTTCAGCATTTCAAAAGCATTTAGTAACTTAAGTGAACGAATTTATTATATTAGAACTGTAGAAGTAAAACGAAATTGTAGTGCATAAATAGAAAGAAGAGTTGTGACAAGTGAACTGTTAGAACACGTATGAACACAATGCAATAGTGACGTAGCGCTTAATTCTGACAATTTGCAAATAGATTCAATCATGCATGTGCTCCAGGGGGAAAGGTAGAACAGTGTTGTTCGGTCGATGCAAATGGAGTTTTTTTTCGAATGACATTGCTTGAATGATCTATCTGTATATGAAAGGAGCACAAATAAAAATGAAACAGATGTTCGGTGCATTTATTACGAAATTAAGCGATAAGTCGATATCTGCTTGGGTGACTTGAACGCACTTGAATCTGCATATTCATCGTTTTTCGTGTTCGCTTAGGTTCAAATCACGGTTATCTCACAAGTTGTGTTCAACTAACGTAAATTTGTTTACGTGAATATCAACAATAAACAGAACAACAAGTTTCTCATCTCAGTTTTTTTCCAATCAACGGCGATTTTCAATTGCAATCGGAAAAAAAATAGATGAACGGATACAATATGCAGTAAAACAATTTAAATGGTTCATCGGGTTTATATGGATGCATTTTAAGTTCCACTTGATAGCAGAACGATTGCGAGGTTTCATCTTTACCAATCGCATGTGTCAATTCTATAAAATACTGCCGCTTAATATGATTATAACGCGAACCAATCAGCGATCAGTTTTAGCCATTTTTTTCAATCGAGCTTTCCATCATACGATTTCAAAACCATCTCAATGTCAATGTTTACTAATATACGCTCATATTTATATACATAGGCTTGATCGTTCGCACTCGATGTTTATATACAAACTAAAATACCGTGATTTGATCTCAATTATATAATCAAGCGTGCACGTATTTTAATCAATACACGCACTCTCCTTCCGACATGACTGTCGCTTCTTTTCTATTTCTCTCTTTTTGTCACATATGCTGCATGTAAACAAAAGCGATGTGCGCACATAAATCACCATGCGTACACACGATGCTTTTAAAACATTTTGGTATCTATCGTTCTATATATACATGTATTATATTCGATACGAATTTTGTACATCTTTCGTTGTGATGATGATTCGCTTTGACGAAATCTCGTGTGCTTTCCATGTGATTTGGTAATGGTGGCGCATTGCGTATCGTCTGTGCGCTAAATTTTTACTTTTTTGCGATCATTATTTACTATGAGTTGTTTTCCATTCGACAAATAAATGAAATCAATCTCTCACTGTTTCTCTTATATTTCTAACTCAATTTTCTACTTCATTTTCTACTGATAACACACACATATACACAGTACGAATTTTGTTGTTGGTGGTGTTGTTGTTGATTGAAGATATGTTGGTGCGGTTATTATTCGTGTATTGGACGAATGCTTGACTTCGCAGGAATAGCGTTGAACAGAGCAGCAGATAGATACAGATAGAGTGAGAGATAGAAATTGAAGAGGAAGAGAAAAAAATATTGTACAAGATTTGCGAGTGTTATCGCAATAATATTGATTATTATTTAACGTCCATAAGGATCGAAAATTAAGTTCACAGAACATTTGGTACAATGCATTTACGACCGTGAACGTGAAAGGATCTATCGCGCTCTGCTTGTATATGACAGAGCTTCACGAACGGGATACATAGCATAAAGTATTCAAGTGTATTTAGATTTAAATTAGTTTATTACGTGTGCATTTTTAATGTCTTTTAAAATTCTTTCCTTTTTTTCTATTGTTTAAATGAAATGTTCGATCAATTAAAATCGTAAATTATATATTTTATATATTTATTGTTGGTCATTTTGTCTATTTTGCAGAGTGATTTATGCCGAAAAATTCCAATAACATATTCGGATAAGAGTAGCAAGAGTGAAGACGAAGAGGATTCATCACTTGAGAAGGAAACACTTTTATCGATACAGAATTCGTATGCCGAAAAATCAGCAACAGTGGACGCCGAAAACGAAACATTAATTGAAGAAAGAACAGTCCCAGTGGAAAAATCTGATTCGGACGAAGGTGACTTTGAATTGATATCTAAGGAACAATTGAACGAAATGGCCGACATGCATAACGGTGAAAATGTGCACGAGGATGGAGGCGGAGGTGGCGATAATAGACGATTTTCAATCTCGGAAGAAGGTATCTCTGAAGCCAAAGATAAATTTCCACAAGAAACCAACAAACTAGCCGCCAACTGGAATATGATGGAACTCGGTGAAAAACGAAAACGATTGAGGTGAGTGCTTTTTTTTAAACTGCAAATCTAATTCTATTGAAGAACAAACATATTTGAAATTCGAAATTAAAAGGTCAATCATGAAAAATTGAATGAAAATTTTAATCAATTTGAAAAAAAAAAAATCAAGCACTGAACGAAAAAAATCAAATCAGCAAAAAGCCAAGTAAACGTATGAAAGTTAATGGAGACGGTCATTTAATTTGGATTGACGCAATGATATTTTTCTATTACATAAACTAACTCCATTTGATAAAAGTGCTCGACGTTTGTACATACATGCTACTTTATGTACAGAAACAAAAGGTGATTCCACTTAAAACACTTGACGATCGCGATCAAAACCTGCGCCACTGATACCGATTGGCAAAGCACATTTTCATCACAAAAACATACACTCACACACCCACAGACACACACATACAGACAAAGATTGAGTAAACAATTTTGGGCATTTAATTCACCTGTGTGATAGCTCACCTTTCATTTATTTATTTTCACACTTATGCTTAAATGCGCAGTGAATTTTACTTGTAGTAAATGTGATCTGTGCTTGATTGTGTATCTCTGTGTATATGTGTGACATTCACTCTCTTTTAGTTAAATTATTCTCACTCTCTTTCTCGTTTTGTCTTAATATCATCGCTCTGGGGCTGTGAATGAGTGCGCGCGATCGAGCAACCGTATTTATTGTGCACTTGGATGATGTGCTACACCACTCACAGTATCGTTAGCTCCCACAATCGGTTTCAGTAGTTATCGTGTATCCATACTGTTGTGACGTACACGTGAATTTTGAGTTTTTTTTCGTTTTTAACCATTTGTTTTATCGTAACCGTTTTAAGAGTACTAAAAAATATTTTAAAAAAATATGAAAAAAACAACGTCGAAAGGCTGTGAATTTTTATCAAAATAAAGAAATTCAAAATTTGATCGCGAAAAACAGAAAAGTGTAGTTCACCACCGTTTATATCCCGTTGATCGCTAAAATAAAAGAGAAAAAAAAACATTTATCCACCATCAGCAGAGAAAAAAAAAACAGTTTCGAGGAAGCAGAAACATTTTAAAATTTATCAAGTGTTGAATTGTTCGTTTTTCCATAATATCTCGATGTTTGCTAGTAATCAAATGACGCAAACTCATAAACACGCTAGAATCCATCTATGAACGATCAAAGAGAAACAAGTATCGAACATTTATTATTACTTTTGCTCGCCATTTCAGTGTTGTTTTAAATAAGAAAAAAAATATATCCAAAAATCGAATAGTTGTTTATGTTTTTTCTGGTCATTTGTTTCATCACAACAAAAATAGAAGAAAAATGACGAAGCATCATTCGAATTTGCGTTTAATACAAAACAAAATCGAAAGTGATCTCTTCTACAGAAAAAAACTAACTGACACATGATTGCCACCGTCACATAAAATACGATATAAACAAATCTCGCCACATAAATAACATTAAAAAGAAAAACACAATAATTTACAATGCCGACATAGTTATCTGACCGATTCCATGCCAGACATACTAATGTACTCTTAATGATGCACATGATCATTGTGTGTGCGACGTTTCATTTTGATACGAGAATGTTGACTCTTTTCAACAAGTTTCATTCATGTTTGTTTGCATGACCAATATGCAAAGTCACTTGTAATCCAACATTTTTTTTTTTAAATGTGTTTTTTTTTTGTCTTGCCCCGTCCAAAAGCACAATTCTATTGCACTAATGAATTCATTTGTTCATGCTTTCGTCATAATATGAAAGCAGTGAAGCGCATACAAAATTTTGCCAACCCAACTTCATCGATATCATTCAAAATGTTTCGAACAAAAACGCACACGCACATTCGACTAACGACCAATATCGTTTCAAATTTTGAAAGGAAAGAAAAAAACACACCATAAAATGGGCAAAATGAACAACATTTTTCACATATTTTATAGTGTTTCACTTCTTCGTGTGTTATTCCTTGGTGCCCAATTTTGTATCGGTATATTGTCTGATTTACTGTGTTTGTGTGTCAATGTTACCTTGATTTTGTTTGTTATACGAAGCACATGCCTAACTTTCGATGGAATCAATCATAATATATTCAAAAGTTCGCATTTTTCCTCATACTGCTTGCCTCTCGCACTCATACTGCTTGCCTCAGACTGCAAAATTATTTTCATGAAAAATCGACACATTTTATGCACACGCAACTCACACACATACAGACTCTAAGTAATTCAAAACGTATATCATTCCATACGTTTTATTTTTGTTAAGTTGAAGTCGCTTGTTTTGTTTTACACCAAAATTACGATTCAATCCGTATGTATGATTAATTCTAATTGGTTTCGATGAAACCTCTAATATGTGATCGAAATCGTGAAAATCATTGGGTCGCATTGAATTTGTGGAAATTTTTGAAATTATATCTTTTTGAATCAGAAATTAAATTCTTATCATTTTACTATTGGAAAATTCTTGTGTCATCCCTCTACATTGATCGATGCATTGTCCATTCCGTATTCAATTAATGTAAACTTGTTGTGTTCTTTTTATAATGTCAAACGTGGCTAATCACACTTGATGAACGTGTTTGCTCATAGACCTATCAGACCTTGTCAAAGGTGAAATACATACAATCAGTATATGCGATCTGATTTTTAAAAAAAATCCGAAGAACTTTTCGGATTCACAAAATTAGTTTTCAAAATACAAAATGTAATATTTTTTGTAGTCAACACATGTGGTTGAAATTAAAAGTTTTATGAAAGTTGTTCAATTTCAATTCATGCATTTCCGATTGTGAAAGATAAGAAAAAAAAAACAGCGAACAAAAGATCACTTCATGAGAGATCATCTATCAACACACAACAATTCAGCATTGTTAACAGAAGAAAAAAAACTGTTTTATGTACAATGTGCTAGCCGAGCAATGCTGATTATTTCAAATGATCAAATCAAAACCGGTTGTATTGCATGGTGTCACGTTGTCATTGACAACTGATCGTTAAATAACCGTATTCTCTCATTTCTACGCATTCGCACGATGAATGATTTGCAACAAATAGAAAATACAAAACATTAAAATGGACGTATTAGGAAGTGAATAATTTGTATGTTAATAGATTGTCCAAAATTTAATACAGCATAATGACGCGGCGGTGGCCGTTATAAACGTCAATCAAACATTTGCCTAAATAACCTTAAGTAGACACGCACAATTGACGTGGAAATGTCAAGTACAAATCATTGGATGTGTTGTAAAAACGTTTCTAACCAGATTTTCCGATATTGAAATTATTTCTTGATAACTAAAAAAAAACAATAGAAATTAGATCGATTACATTGAATCCAATATTCGACCTGTGAAAACCATCCAATTTTATCGCAATTTTGACGTTGGTCTACAATTTGCAAAGAAAATTATCCTTGTTGTTGATTCAAACTGATTGCATGAAATGTGATTTAGTTCATTCACATCGTGATTCACTTATTCAAATAATCTAATCTAATCTCATAGAATCGTAACAATATTTAATTTCATATACATCTGTAATGCATTCACCCAACACCAAAGATATTAAGCTCTCATTTTTTGTATGGTTATTATTTATAGTATATTATTTGGATGTGTGAAATGTAAGTAATATAATCGTCACATAGATTTTTCTATTTCTAAATCAATTGTCGAAACGTCAATTAGAAAATGACTCATTGCATTGCAACGTGTGTATGTTTCGTATGGCAAAAATGTGTGTTCACTTCTTGCTCAGTAGCCAATATTAGAAAGAGAGTTTGATGTTCAACGTAGTACACGATGATAACGTTATATTTGAAATATGTAGCGGCAAATGCACACATAGAGAGCAAAAAAAAGAAAAACAACAACAACGAAATGCATTGGAATGTCCAACGGCCACAGAAGAAATGAAACAAGAGAATTCTCACTCATCCGCGTGTACCGATGAATATATCACATATACACTCATACTATTATAATTATACATATAAGCATGCGCTGCCGTCTGTATGTAAACACAATATCATACACACAAAGAGAAATAAAGAGAGCGAACGAGTGAATGCGAGAGTATTTGAACGCACAGAGAGACGGATGACAAGACATGGGTACTCAGCGAGCGCGAAGAGAGTAAATGAAACGGTAGAAAGTCACACTATGTATGCTGGTGTCTTTTACTTTAATTCTCTCTTGGTCGCGCGCGCTCTCTCACTCTCTCTCTCTCTCGCTCTCTCACTTCGTTTCTTGACGGTTTTCAATTTTTTCCTTGTTGCTTTCATCATCCAGAGTAGTTAATGAATATATAGTGAGTAAAGAACCACATGTGAACGATGACCGCACAACGTAATCACAAAATTTAACCAAGTGTTTTGCATTGAATTTGTGGTCTTTTATATTTATTGTCATCATAATTTTGTCCGATTTTGATTGACTTCTTTTTTCGTTTTCAAACAAAAATATTTTCATACATATATTATTTACACAAAATTTGTTTTACAATTCGTCATTGACGTCGTTATTGTTCCCGATTCCCGACATACACAAATATTGTTCGTTGATTATTATTCGAGGTAAAACATAAGTAAAAAGAAGATGGGAAATTGAAAAAAATAAAATAAAAAAATAATAATAAAATAAACGGAAACCAAATTGGTTCCCCCCATTTGACAAAAGAAGTCGAGAAATCGAACAACGTCATCGTTTACATTTGGCAAAAGTGAAATACAATTCAGTGTGTCCGAATTAAAGATGAGAAAAAATATATATATAGTATAGGCAGAAGAACAAGACGACAAAAGCACACACAAATTTCAAAAGTAAATACAAAGAGAGCAAAAAACTCAATAGAAATGATAAAATATGAGTTCAATGTAAATATAATGAAAAATTAAAGAGAACTTCTTGAAAACCCTTTTGTGATTGTTGTTGGAATAAACACGTATCGTAAATATATAATTTTGTGCAATTGCGTGAATTGTGTAAAT